TGTAAGTACTCCTTCTGTATGGCTGCATTGTCTCCGTGCACTGGTTGAGTGAAATCTCTCACCTCATGCATTGAAGTCCACCACTAGTTCTAATTTTCAGGTACGGATGGACTCCTCCTCTCTGCCCCTACTGACACAACAAAAGAGCCGTCAAAAAAACTCTGGCGATGACATGAGCTTGAGCTGAATCTGAAGCGTGCTGTGCAGAGTGAATATGAAAGGTGACAGTGTGGTTCCCAGCAGGCCTCCTTTCTGTTTTGCAGCATTTACACCGCAATGCTCTGGAGGAGGCCAATCTGCACTATCTAATTAAATAGTCAGTAATCCAGGACACCATGCTGCTGTCCACCTGCTTCACTTTGAGCTACACCCTGAGGGGCCGGATGGCCATGAAAGCAGTGCAATCAAAGACCACCATTGCCATCATGCAACCACCTCTCTGGGTGGGAATAAGCCCTGTGGAGCTGGCATGTAATGAAATTGTCCACAACCATTTTGGCACTCCAACTGAAAAGAATAAACTACAGCAATGGAAAAGAAATCTTTATTATTATATTATGATAGTCTGTCCAGTACTGACATTATTTTTCGAGATGTAACTTCTCTCAAATAATCAAATTGGGCTGCTAAATTGGCTCATTTATTCTTTACATTTTTTTTTTCACTTGTTCACGTCTGCCCAATTTCTTCAAAACTGCGGACTCTTATCAGGAAATAGAGGACTCTTAGTTCTAACCTGTCTTTCTCAGCATACAGAAACAGCACAGCAGGATAACAGCAAACACTTCGTTTCAGTGGTGTGTTCTCAGATGGACTGTTTGATTGCACACTCATCCTGGACTTCTCTTAGGATAAAATGGCTATAGTCGAATTGACTCTTCTCTCCATAAAGATCTGCAAAATATTAAAATTCTTTTGATAAGACAAAGTGGCTTATCAAAAGAGTGGCACTTCTAGCATATGATTACTCTTGACTAAAAATGTTTCCCTACAAGCTGTTGAGAGGTATATGTAATAAGATATAATGTAATATATAACAATGCAATCCCACCCCGCAACAGTTAGTCAGGTGCTTTAAAAAGAACTCCTATTGTCAGTCTTATGTGTTGTTACACAGTTGTACATTTCAATGTGTCTTTCTTTCTTTTCCATAAATATTTCTGATATTATTTTTTACATGTAGCAGCAGCAACTATGTTTTCATAGTTGCTGCTGCGTGTTAATATTTGTAATACTGTGGAATACTGTGGAAGAAAATTCTAATGCGATGCAGAATCGATACAGAATGTTAATTCCTGCCACAAAAACACAGTACCAAATAGTAAACACATTGAAATTGTAAATTTGAACATGTCAAAATTGCTTGGCCCAAAAAAGTCCCACTAGAGGGCCTGAATTTGTTTAGAGATTTATTGTGCGTGTGTCTATGTGTGTGTGCAATTGAATGTATGTGAGCTTGTGTGTGAATTATATTAAATGAGGAGAGGAAAAAATAAATTATTTAAAAAACCTCTGAAAGGTCTGACCATGTATGTCACCTGTGAACACGTGTTTCATTCCCTCGTTGACGTCCTTTCTTCCTGCTCTCCTTTACATGGACACCGTGACACCTGTGAACCTTTTTTTCTACTCATATCTTGAAGATTATTATTTTGTCTCATCAAAGCCAGCCCTTAAGTTAAATCTACTGCTTTAATAGACTTATTATGTGAGCCCAGTAAGTGGTGAATTCTATTTCTGGCTCTTCCTGTGAAGTACATATTCATTAATCAGAACCTCCTTTGAAGCTTAAGAAATGCAGGTGACTTTAACTGAAGCAGCAGGCACACAGGATAACATGGGACACCTTAAATTGGCTAAGCCAGTATGAATACGTTCATTGACATAATAAATTATTATTACATTCTTCTTACACAGGAAATATCATATAGACACGAGAATCAATGATAATAACATAAACTATTTGCATAATGTATGTTCACAAAAATGTAGGAAAGAAACTTCAATGCCACTAGTGCAATAAACATGTGTATCCTGCACAAACTGCAGACTGTATTAGCAGATAAGAGGTCATTTAAACGCTTGGAAAGGGGCTTCAATCAATTTAGGCTATAATCAATTATTAAAAAATGGGATTTTACAATGTAATGTATGTTCTGGCAGAAGGGTTAAGGCTTCCTGATTGTTGTTGGTGACTTTTTCTCTTCATTTGTTACTTTTTTTTGCGGTAACACCAAGATCACTTCTGGTTTTTATACTTGGCAGCATGTCTGGAAGAATTAATTTCATTTAACCATGTACAACAATGGATGTTACACGATGATTTAAGGAGCCTGACATGTGCAACTTTCATTGGGGTCATTTAAGGTGTGAATTGTTGCGCCATAATCTGGAAACCCAAGGAAGGTTAAAATCAATAGCAACCGGACTTGGCTGAAGATTGGCTGAACTTCAACCAAGTCCACTTGCTATTGATTTTAACCTTCCTTGGATAACTATTAACCGGATGACTGAGAACCTTCACAGATAATCTGGAAAGTGAAAACACCCAAAAATGGGGGACCCTGTGGAAGTCCATCCCCCAGATGATGTCCTGTCCTGGCAGGCTGGGCCAGTGGGTGTGTTGGAGAAACACACATTGATCCTTTAAGTAAAAGCAGCAATATAACAAAATAAAAATTCTCTGTTAAAAGTAAAAGTACGGCATTTTCTACTTGAGCAAAAAATATCCAAAGCAGTCATTTAGCAGAAAGGCAAAATTTCGCAGAAAAGTGTTAAATTGTGGAGAACTAAGGTCCTGAAAGATTAGATCATAGATTTTTTAAATCTTATGTGTACAAGATATTATTTTGTGCACACAAGTGTTATCATACAGAGATCAAAAGTTTTAAGTTTCAGGAGCTCCCTTGTTAGTTTTGTTGCATGACGGTATCTGTAGAAAGAGGTGGTCGGGGGAGATGCTGGCAATGCAAAATGCAGGACTTGGCACTGGTGACCTGGGTTCACATCCTCAGTCCCGCATGTTGTTAGGTTTAGGCAACAAAACACTTTGGTTGCGGTTAGGTAAACATTGTGGTTTTGGTTATGTGACAGTGACTTTTTCACTAGTAAACCATAACCACGATATCTCACTAAACTTAACCAAGTGCTGTATGGTAATTAATAACATTTCCTCATTGCTGTATAGTATCCAGTAGATTTTTCTGTTAACACTTCATCATACAGTTTAGCATGCTAAGTGATAATATATCACTGTCAGAAGTGAGAAAATATGTGAACACAGGCAGTTCATGTAGGATATCAATCAGTATACACAGTGATGTGAACACAGGGCCTTAAAGGCAAGGCAAGTTTATTTGTATAGCACATTTCAACAACAAGCTAATTCAAAGTGCTTTACATAAAACATAAAAGCAACAGGGAAATATAAAAAAGTTTAAAAGCAACATAGGGAAATTGAAAAAATACACATTAAAAAATAATAAAAGTTACAGTGCAGTGTACAATCAGGGTTAAAAGAGTTAAATGGAAAATAAAAACAGGCTGAGGGGTTGAGCAAATAATTTGTTCAAGTTAAACTAAGTATAAATCAGACTGGAAGCCTCCAGCTGCAAACACAGCAATGTATTAGTTGCACAAAGGCACTTTCATTCAATAAAGCACATTAGGTGCCAAAAAACCCCACAAAACGTTATTGCGGTAGTCCCTGGAAATCCTTATTTGTCTTTGTCTAGTGTGATGCTGCCTGAGGAAGGGCTGTGAAGGTGTGTTCACACCGAAAGCGAATCCAGCGTTTTGGGCAGCTTGATTACATACAAAGTCAATGCAAAGACGCGAATTCCTGCAAATGAGGCGTTTGTCGCTGGTTTATGCCAGTTCAAATTTTTGAAGTTGGGCTAGAAATTGGCTTGACGCGATGTTGCGAGAGCCAATCAGCAGTGAGATTGTCGAACCACGCCGTTTACCCGCAGGAGGATCTCAGAGTTAACTGCTTTTATTAAATTAGCTTTTTACTTTAGTTTTAGATCGATCTGAACTCCATTCAGAAAACAAACATTTTAAAAGTTGTCGTCCTGCTGACTTGCTGATAGACCTGACAAAGCATGAATTCATGTCTAACAAAACAACATCATATTGTAGTTATTTTGGCATCAGTCCGTTTATTGCAATTAAATCACAGCAAAGGTTTTACTTTGGGTTCATATAGCTGTAGTATCCGTGGTCTGTGTTTATTCGCTTAAAACGTGTTGTGTGTGAACACTCAAAATGTCAAGCAGTCAAACTCGCGCAAGTACAGCGAGTGTGTAAATTTCAGTGTGAACACACCTTGAGCCTGTAAAGCACAGCCATATCAGAAATCCAATAATATATTTAAGAATTCTAAAAACTTTTAATTTATAGGGACTTCTTTCCAGTTGCATGTCCAGCAGCCTGCAGGTTGTGATAATACATTATCAACAGCCAGGCCAAAATAAGTTCTAATAACTACTAATAATTTAGACTGCATTGTTTGAGTAATACTTGCATGTATTTATATTCCTGCAGGGAAAATTTTCTTTGAAGGGCACAATCAGTTTTTAATTGGTATTTTGTCTTAAGCACCCCATGTATGTGGCACATAAAGACTATGGGATGCCTTGACAAAATAATAAAGCTTTTTTTTATCATTATAGAAATGTGGGGTGCCCACTGTGCTGTTGCAAATCGCTACCTTACCAATTGTTCCTATAAGCCTAAAGAAACCCTGCTGACAGTTACTGTGGGTCTTGTTGTTTTGACTTCCTTCTGTGTGTCTCCTTAAAATTAGTTTAGGCTATTGGCAAAAAAAAAAACAAATCTGAGAAAAACAAAACACTACCTACTCACTTTACTATTCACCACTAACGTGCCGCAGCTCGCCTCCTTCACTGTGCTTTCTGCCTTGAGGAAGGCAGCAAGTCCAGGAAACAACGTTTGAGACTCGGCCGGGTGACCGAGGTTTGGGGCGTCGACTGAACTTCCCTCAGACCAATCGGAGTTCACGGTGAAACTTTGTAAACAACCCTTACACGCTGTTTTAAAGTTCATCTGCTGTATTTACTACGAAAGGATACGACGGTGCTGCAGCCGAGTGAGCTAAAAGTCCCTGAAACAGGTGAGACAAGAGCTGTGTTTGGTTGCCGTTTTGAATCTGGACCGTGTGTTTTAGCGCAGTGTGTGTGCGCGCGCGCCGAGCGTTTGTATTTAGGTGTCCTCGTGACCCGTAGTAGTGTTGCAAAACAGCTGTCATGTAGAGTAAAAAGTGCAGAAGAAGCATGTGGAGGGTTTTTTAAATAAACACAAACAATGTAACTCTACATACTGTAGCCTATAACATAGTGTTTCAGTGTCCCGAATGACGTCGCCACAATGGGCTACAGTGAAACGTTAAATTCCTGTTCAGAGTCCACTGACATGTTATATCTCGGTTAGACTATCTGTTTAGCTTAAAATTAGGCTTCTACACAGCTGAGAGAATCATTAGCCTGTTTGCCAAACACCTTATTAGTAGGTGAGACTTTAATTCAGTTCGAGAGACTTTTAAGGGTGCGGTGGTGTTCCCACATCAGCGGCTGAGGAGTGAAACTGATTGTGCAACACAAATCTTATAGGTGTTCTGACACCGTGTGCTTGCCCCTGTTTCTGGCTTTATACACAAAATTGTGTGTTTGAGGTAGAATATGGGCTATGACGAGGACATGGTGGTTTAAACTTAATAAGCCTTTGGTTGATTTTCTGAGTAATTCCAATGAGCAGGCTAATGATGGAGCAGAGTTCATTTAAAATCACTCAGCATTTAGGCCCATCCACTGACTGAGTGAGACAGGCCTGTTATTAGGCGGCTTTACAGCCTCTGAATGTGTCAGAGTGCTGATAAGTGTAGGTATCAAGAATTGCTTTGCCTGTATGAGACAAAAACAGTGAAAATCCATCAACTCAGCAGGTAGACACTGACAGGGGAAAATGTTCATGTTCAAGTGTTTAATAGTAATGTAATAATGTATACAAATGTCACAAAAGCTTGGAAATGAGAGCTAATTTTTTTATTTTATTTCCGCTTAGCAAGTACTATTTCCTGGAATTTTCTCTTTGACAAACTCACTAAATCAGTCAGTCACTCACACACAGGCTGTCAAAAGACAAATGTTTCTGTCTAGCCTAAAGTGGATGTTCCTCTTCTGTCTTAGAGCTCCAGTGGTGCTGATAGTGTACTGCAGTGTAGATGTGCTGTATTTTGTTGCTTGCTGTTTTACTGTTAGTCTGAAATAGGCTTCAAAAGTCTTATTCTAAACGGATGTGGGTACAGCTTTCGTTGTGGAACGTCAACATCTGCATGCTCTGTGTTCCCTCAGCACGCCCACCTCAGCTGAAGGAGGGGTTCAGGAAGAAGGGGGAGGGAAAAGCTTCCTGTCAGAGTGGCTGAGAAACTGAATCAGCTGAGGTGGTGGGGACTGAGACCTGGGGGGGGGGGGATTTTATACACGCAGTTATGAATTTCTTCACTGTAACTTCTCGGGAAATGTGACGCATTTCTTTTGAGTACATTTGTGGTTTGGACAGTTTGCTATGTTTATTTCATCTTGATTGTACCATGCTCTTTGTTAGAGGAGGTTTCTATTTTGAAGAAATGTATTTCTACTCCAGCAGTTGCTACTCTGTCACTATTAGACAAGAAGCTTTCAGTAAAAGCTTAACAAGCAGCAGACTACTCATCTAAAAAATCCTTGGACCGTAAAACACTTATGGTAGTGGTATTTTTGGCTCCTTTACTGGCAGCTTTTGGATTCTTGACATTGTTTTTGGATGTAAAATGACACCATGGCAAAGAGGTTAAAATGTAAACTGTGAGCTTTAACCGTGATGATTTTAAACCAACATTGCATAAATTGCTACAAAGAGAAAAACTAGTGGTTACTAGGTAGGATCAATAAAATATCTTTCTTGAAATCATTCAGGTGCTTGCTCTAAACTGCTGATGTTACATTTTTAGAAGCAATAGGTACAATGGAAAACAATGCAAAAAGGTATTTAGTTGATATGGCCATTTAAAAAAAACATAAATATCACAACTTTTAAATGTGGCTGTTTCCACAAATTCTTAACCCTTTGTCCAAAATCCCCACTCATTCACAATACCCTACCCTATAGAGCACACCTGCATAATGGAAAAAAAACTTTCGGACACTACTCTGATCATTATTTCAGCGCTGTTAATTACGTAATTGCCGTCGGACAATCAGTTGGTTGACTATTTTCTGTCAGAGCAATGCATGATGGTAAAGGACTTGGTTAGTGACCATCGGTTGTACGCTACTTTTCTAAATGCATTCTGGGATACATTGAGTGGACTATATAGGGTATAATAATTCTCACTATACATTTGGGCAGCACTACAAAATGGCGAGCTCACTATATAGTCCACTATATAGTGAGTAGTGGGTGATTTCGGACACTGTTGCTTTCATGTGAACTGCAAAATTGATACAGTCATATCATGTACAAAATAATTAAAATATGCAGCTAAAATAATATATATTCTTGTGGTCAATGTGCTCTTGCAGTTATCTCCCAAAAGCCAGCCCACAGTTCTCACTTTGCTTATTGTGGTCTGGCAAAGCTTCACTAAGATATAAATCCTTCACACCCCTGACTGGACTCTCAGTTGCCTTTACCTCTGGAAATACTTGGTGGCTGTCCTGAAAACACTGTGAAATTTCTCTATCCAGTAAAATCATTCTTTGAATTAATTTGAGGTGAGTAATAGACCAAATTTTTAGAAACAGACTCCATGATTTAAGCGTTCATGTTTTTGGGCAGTGTAAATACTTTTGGAGTTTTGAGATGATAGTGCGTCACAAAGTCATATCATGATCTAAAAATCCCCATACGTCACCGATTGGTCCAACACACATCTGACTCAAATGAAACTGGATGTTGAGTATTGTAACAACAGCCGCGCTTGCATGATGAAGTGTGGTTGCCATAACACAAACGTGTATTTCAGAGAATTATCTTTTGAAATCTGATCATAAACATTGATTTACTGTGATTCAACTGGCAAACACTCAACCCACGTGTCAGTAATCTTAAGTAGCGATTATACCTGCATGGCGATGAGTCTTTGTTTGTTTTCATGTCGAGCTGCTCTCAGAAACCCGATTCGGTGTTTTACATGAAACACACTGACGTCATCACTTCCTGTCACGCTACCTAAACACAAACACAGCGTTTGTCAGCAGTGACACATAGACCGCAGTGTTTTGGTGGTTTGATTGCTTTAAATGCACCATGCAGTTGTGCTGAGAACATGCTGTAATTTTGATGACTATGATGATAACCTTTTATTGTCTTATCATGTTACAGGAATACAGAATAGTGCCTAATACATGTGAGGAAAAAATGTCTCAGCTACACTGAAAAAAAAACATGACATTATTTATAGATGGGGAAAAAACAGAAGACATCCTAAGTACAAAATTCATCACCCAGACCCTACAACAAATGAGGCAAGTAAGGAGCACTTATTTTTACCCCAAAATCTTTCTCCGAAAACTGAAACTTGGCAACCAAACCAAAGTAAAGTTTTTTCTTGCTACTGTTCAGCCCCTCAAAGGGTAGGATGCGTGGCAGTGTTGCACACAGAGCCTGCCTGTGAGATAAAACTTATTCCGACAATGAATAAACATGTGTCGGTCTATGAGAAGAATTTAAGAGACAAAACTTGAAAATCAATTAATTCTAGGATGGGTAACTGGTAACTGTTTAGAGTGCAGCAAAAGGAGGAGGAGGAGGCAGGGCAGGGCAGGGCAGTGTCAGATTGTGTGTACGGATGGACCAGGATCGACTATGAGATTGTGCAGCTGCTCTGCAGGAAGAACTTCCTGGCTTGGTGATGGTGATTATGCCAGTTTACATACTGTAGGAATGCAATTACATGGGTTATATATTTGATAGTTAAAGAATCTGTGTCAAGTGAAGTCTATATATTCATTGTCTGTCTGTATTTTTTCTATATTTTGTGCTGCTCAAAAATCTATTTTCAACAATTTTAGATGCATTAAGTGTGCATAAATGTATATCTAACTGTTGCAACAATATGTGCCTGAAATGAGAGCTTGGTTTATTTAGTACATAATCTGTTATGTATTGACTATAGCAACGTTTTTGCTGTTTATTTGTTCATACTGCATTTCTTTACCCTAATTCATACATTTGTATGATTTAAAAGAAGCATAATGTGTCCCTTTGCCTGCTCGTTGAGGCTTGTCGTGTACTGTTTTTGGAGGTGATCAGTGAAGTAGAAACACAATTTCTTTTTTTTGCGGTCAACTTTACAGAAAAGCTTTTTTTAGTACTGTCTGTACTGTAAGTCAGACTTACAGCTGTTTTGATGTGTTACTTGTTTGCTGACGGGTATACCAGCTGCTGACATGGCAGTGTTGCGGTGTTGAACATTCCCCTGTGTGCCTACGTCAAGGCATGTAAACACATTTCCCAAAGGTACACTCAGAGTTGTTATGTCATTAAGTCTGCTGCGTAGACCTTTCTGTGGTAGACAATGTCAGTTCTCTTTTAACTTATCTTGCAAATGATCTCTACATCAGTTTGATACAGTTCCTGTAAATACACAAAAATACATAACACATTCACACACAAATTTATATTCTTATTTTTTAATTATCTTATTTCCATGGGAACTTATTTTACTTGTTTCCAAAACTGTTTCTTGTTACAGACACTTTCTATAAATGAGTATTTTTAGTGTTATAATGTTATTTTTATGGGTTTTTTTTAATGTTATTTTTTTGTTATTTTTAGTGAATAGTATATTAAGAATAGATTATCCAAATTGATAGGTTATTTATTTGCTGTGGACAGTACAATTTCTTAAACCATCATAATAACCATCTTCTGTTTTTATGTTTTCCAGGACTGTTTATTTGAACAGATTCTAGGTCTCATACACTGTTTCACTCATCTTTGCATGAGACTATCAAGCATTACTGGAACAATGGTGACTTTGAAATTCTCTGCAGAAGAAGCTGTAAGCTGATTAAGCTTCCTCTTGAGCTCTTCGGATTGTGATTCTGCTGTTTTCAGTTGTTTGTTTACTCC